GGCCATGTGGTCCTCTCTGTGTGGACTGGCTGCTCTAATTGGGATCATCATCCTCAAGGCCTGGTGGGCCAGGATGTGCTCCACATTCTCTTCTTCCCCTTCTGCTCCCGTGTGCTCTGATCAGATATGTCCCTCCCGGAGCTGCAGATTCAATGCCGTCCTTTAAATAAATTCTTTTTGGGGGAGGACACCTACTAGAAGTTCTATTCTGCTAACTTGGAGTGACAAAATTGGCTGCTACCAGGTAAATACCTGGATTTCAGCTGAAACCATCGGCACTCCCTGCCTCAAGGGCACCTGCCTGCCTGTCTTGTTTCTTTCCCTCTCTTCCCTGACCAACTGGGTGAGTGTCCTAAAGGTGGTTTTGCCCCTTTCTTGAGAGCTTCCCCACTGCATTCCCCCCCCCATTGCATTTGACAATGACCCAAGCCTTGGTGGCGGCCTGTGGATCCACCTTTCAGAACCATTCATCTGTCCCTTTTCCTAAGCCTATCCGACGTCTTGGCGGACAGATAGTGGAGGGGCTGGAATTCTCAGAGAATACTGTTGTACCCCTGGGGCGCTGGGCATTTAGCACCCCTGGGGTGAGGGGGACAGGGCAGGAGGGTCAGTCTGGAAGGGTGCTCGGCAAGCGTGTAGGGCTGAGGAGGTGGGCTTGCTGAGGGGCCAGCGGCAAAGGCAACCCTGAGTCCTGGAACGGGAACGGGCGTTTCTGTGGAGGCAGCAAGTGTGGCAGGGTCAGCAGGCTGCTCGGGTGCCTGTGGGAGGTGTCTGAATTGGTTTCAAGCTGGGGAAGCTATAGATTCCATGTGTTTGCCCAAGACTTCTGGACAGTACTCCTGAGGAAGAGCGCCTCCTCGGAGAAGCTTGGAAACCCCTTCTTGTGCAGCTTGTTGAGACACCCCTGGCACTTTCCCAAGAATGCAGAGACCCATTCAAGGTGCCAACAGAGCCCCAGCTACAAGGAAGGGGCGAACCAGGCTTTAAGGATTAGAACAAAGCCCTGATGGTGCAGCAGGCGCACTGCTGGGCTGCTGACCAAGACTCAGAACCACAGGCCAGCTTCCTTGGGAGGAAGATGAGAAAGTCAGTCTCTTTAAAGATGGCAGCCTGGGAAACCCTGTGGGCACTACTGCTTTGTCCCAGAGAGTTGGCCTGAGTCGGAATTCATCCCACCGCAATGGGTGTGTTTTTATGGTGGTTTGCAGAAGGAGAGTTACACTCAATATGTAATGTCTGATCTCAGGAGTGATTTCATGTCCTCCCTCATCCTTTCAGCCCAGGAAAATGGTACTTCCTTAAGCATGTTGATGTTCTTTTGAGCCAACACTTGATTTCTGGCAGAAGCTTCTGTGATCCTCCATGTATTTCACTCATAGACTGAGGATATTAATATTTACTGGAAAGTGTGTATAAATGTTGTGGCCAGAACAATTTGCCATCACTTATTTTGTGTTGTGGTTGAATTTACCTAGACTATATCCCAAGGGTTCTCTGGTGCTGGGGTTGGTGGGATGAGGCCCATGTTGATTGAGTAAATAATACAGGCCCCCACCAGATGGCAGCAGGCATTAAAAGTGGGACAAGAGATTTCCACTAAACTCCAGAGGAAGAAAATGTAGGGAAGCACACTATATATAACCCAGAGGTCACAAAAGGGCCAACTGTACTAATCCAGGAGTCATTCTGCTGGGGTCTTATGCTGCCTTTGCTAGGAGGACGTGTGTTTTTTTCCTTGCGCAGCCACTGATATTGCACTTGATATTGTGTCCTAGTCTCAGGCCTGGAACTAACCAGGCCATACATGGCCTGCCTCTGTTGCTTGCTCCCTTTCTCAGAACTTCCTGACCAATAAGGAAGACTGCAAAAAAAAAAAAAAAGAAGCAAATCCTTGAATCAAGGTAGACGCCTTGAAGGACAAGGCGAAAGACTGCAACGAACAGACACATTTTCATGTTTCCTTAAGATGTTTATTATCATCCATACTTTTCAGAGAGAAGAGCATAGTCCTCAGTTTCGCAGGAACTCCTGTTTTTCATAGGGCCCTGGACCTAGGAAGAAAGCCCTAGAGTTGTTCATTTTTTCTGACAACAGAAGGGCAAGTCTAGAGCTCTGCGAAGGGAGACTGCCCGTTCCCAGGCCTGCAGTAACAACCTTACCCTCAGGTCTCTGGTTCCTTGCCTACAGGGACACTGGCATACGTGGCCTGCCTACGAGTACTTCCGTGAGACCATTGAGGGAGCACTGTGGTGGCTTCCCAGCCGGGGCTTTCAGGAGACTTGCAAATGCCAACTAGTCTTTAGTTGGATTCTGGCTAATTTCCCAAGAGACTTAGCTTCTCCTCTTTGGTCTTAAAGGCCTCAGAGCCTACATGTTCCCGCTGAATGTCCCAAATAAATAGATCACAAGGATTCCTAACAATTTGGGGATAGTCATGGGACACAGCAAGGCACCCAAATCACAACGTGGATACACACTCAGAGGGTGTGTACTCTTTAACCCTCGGCAGCCTCTGCACCTTCTTCACAACGGCCAGCCCTCACCCTACTTCCATAGAATAATTACCGTAATCTGTAGAGATCAGTTGGGCAAGGAAGGCTAGTTCATAAAATTAAGTCTGTAATACTTCACCACATCCGAATTAGAGAAATTCCATTCATCCTACCCAGTATGAGTCCTTTGATGACTGACAAGGCGTGAACTCCGAGAAAAGCTTTCTCCACATTCAGAACATTTATATGGCCTCTCTCCCGTATGGGTTCTCAAGTGACGAATCCGATTGGAGCTGTGAGAAAAACTATCTCCACATTCATGACAGGTGTAAGGTTTTTCTCCTGTGTGAATTCTTTGGTGCCGGATTAAGTTGGATCTATGGGAGAAATTTTCCCCACAAAGGGTACATTTATATGGCTTTTCCCCTGTGTGCGTTCTTTGATGTCTGGTGAGGTGCATGCCCTGCCCGAAGCTTTTCCCACAAGTCAAACATTTGAAGAGCTTTTTTTCTACCTTGGGGGTTCTGTGGTTGGTAAGAAAAGGGGTACAGTCATTCACAGATTCTCCACATTCAGAGAAGGGGTAAAGTCTCTCTCTCTCATGAGTTCTTTCATGTATGACAAGGTGTGAACTACGAGAGAAGCTCTTCCCACACTCAGGACACTTATAGGGTCTCTCTCCGGTGTGAATTCTCTGGTGCCTGAGGAGGTTGGAGCTATGAGCAAAGATCTCCCCACACTCAGGGCACTTGTAGGGCTTCTCGCCTGTGTGTGTTCTCTGGTGCCTGTGGAGGTTGGAGTTGCAGGAGAAGCTCTTCCCACAGACGGTACACTGATAGGGCTTCTCGCCGGTGTGAGTGCGCTGATGGCGAGTCAGGTGGGTATGCTGACTGAAGCTTTTTCCACATTCGAGGCATTTATGGGCCTCCTCTCCCAAGTGGGCTCTGTGCAGTGACAGAAAATGAGGGCTTCCACCAAAGATGTCGCCACAGTCCACACCCATGCACAGTCTTTCTGCTGCATGTATTCTCTGGTGCCTAATCAGGTTTGAGTTGTTAGAAAAGTTTTTGCCACACAAAGGACATAAGTGGAGTTTCTTTGGCTGCAGTTCCTTTGTCCGCCCCAGCTCTCTGCAGTTGGTGGCTCCAACTAAGGATTGCTCCATTTGATTCTCTGGGAGAGGGTCCCAGTGCCCTTCTGACCTGTCCTGAGGTTGCCCCTGCTCAGGACTCCAGGGCACCTCCCCTTTGGCCTGGCCAGGTAGCTCCAGAGGGTGGGTGTTTTCAGGGGCAACAAGCTGAGCAGTTTCCTCCTGGTTCTCAAATTTCTCTTCCCCTGGCAGATCAAGAGAAACAAACCCTTTCATTACTTAAACACTGGAGAAAAGGAAACTCCACAGACCTGCCACTGCCTTTGGGACACAGGCAGGCTGGTTCTACCTCAGTTTCCCATCTTCCTCCAGAGAAGCAACCAGTCAGAGGTAGGGCCATCACTCTAAGAAATGGAGCTAAGTTCAGTCTTGGAATTCCTCTCTATAGGTCTCCACCCACACCTCTAGTTAAGCCTTGGGCTTTTGCCTGTCAGGAAGGGGTGGAGTAGGGCAGGGATGTAGTTCAACTGGGGCAAGTGAGACAGCCCACAAGTGAAGCTCTATTCTTCGCATCCTGGCCCCCTCACTTTCCTCATCCTAGTCCGAGCTCTGGGATGCAGAGTGGACAGTAAGACAAAGGACGCAATGAACCTCCAGCTAACACCCACCTGGCAGGGCCAAAGTCCATATACACAAACACCTCTTGCTGGGAAGGTAGCTCACCTTCATGTCTTACCTGCAGGTAGGCTTCTGGGGCTCAGGATCTCCTTCCAACTCTGGGTCCTGGGATCCAGTGACTTTTTGTCTTGCTCCACTGGGGTGCTTGGGGCCTCTTGATGGGGAATCAGAGACTCTGTACACAGTGAAAGAGGCAGCTCTCAGTATCAGCACTTTTCTCCACCAAACTGGGGAAGCACACAGTCTTGATCCCTGCCCTCAAAACCTCAAAAGGTAGATAGAGACTTCTTTGCGCAATTAAGGTTGACAGTAGATTGCTGCTCACAGTGATTCTGCCTCGAAGGTTAGGGGAGGCAGGCGCACACCCACACCTACCCACCCCAAATTCTACTTTGACAGTACTCAGGTTTTTGTGCAATGAGAATGTACATTTTTGCAACTAAAACAGTAAAAAGACAACCGTAGAGATGGCCAGTTCCTTGACAAGCCAGTTTCATATTGTAAACGAGACTCCACTTTTAAAAATCAGTCTAAAATAGAACTCAGCTTAGCCTGGCAACTCTAGAAAGCAAAAATCAAATAAATAGCATGGTGGCCATTTAGAAGAGAACCTGGGCTTTGAGAGGACCATGCCGTTAAAAGACAGAAGGACCACTGACTATTGGGCTGTGCTGTTTAAAAAAAAAAAAAAATATATATATATATATATATCATGTCATTGCTGGTAAGAATGGATTTAAGGGAATCCAGGACGGATGATTCCTTCAGGACCAGTGCTGAGAATGGCGATACCGGGAGGGTGTAGGGAAGGTGGGGTGGAAAGGGGAAATCGATGACAGGGATCTACATATAACCTCCTCCCTGGGGGACAGACAGCAGAAAAGTGGGTGAAGGGAGACGTTGGACAGTGTAAGAGATGACAAAATAATAATTTATAAATGATCAAGGGTTCATGAGGGAGTGAAGAGCGGGGAGGGAGGGGGAAAAATGAGCCCATGCCAGGGGCTTACCTGGAGAGCAAATGTTTTGAGAATGATGAGGACAACGAATGTATAAATGTGCTTTACACAATTGATACATGTATGGATTATGATAAGGGTTGTATGAGCCCCCAATAAAATGATTTTAAAAAAGGAAGGATTTAAGTATTAATCTGATTCCAAAATATTGTGTTCTGAACTTCTTTCCATGTTTAGCACTCACTGAAAGAGGTATGTTCAACTCTGGACACCACAGTAGTGGCAAAAGGATAAGGAGAACCTGAGACAGTGCCCATAAAAAGAAACAAACAGTGGTGATCCTCTGTGCAAACCTGATGGCAGTATGATTCTACTGGTGTTTGCTTCAACCGAATTGTATGAGTAAGGAACACATATTTTATGTTGTTTCCAAACGTACAGGAATACATGCATACCTTCCACCTAAACCACCTTTTGGGGGTGTTTTATTCAAGAAGTATCCTTTTTTCTGTTTTGACACATACATGTACTTTAACATAGGCTTACTTAGCCCCTATTTTGGATAGACATGTTGTTCCCACATTCCTGAAGTGCGAAGTACTGCCTTTTGAACATCTGAGCAGAGAGAGACCTTTGATATTTTACAGCTGTGACAGCCGATGCGCTAGAATGTTGGTGCAATGCCCTGAAACGTGTCTTCAGGGAAGCATCTAGGGCAGGGGTCCTCAAACTACAGCCTGCGGGCCACATGTGGCCCGCTGAGGACATTTATCCAGCTGACGGCTGTTTTTGTCCCATTTATTTAAACTATAGTGCGGCCCTCCAACGGGTCTGAGGGACAGTGAACTGGCCCTCTGTTTAAAAAGTTTGAGGACCCCTGATCGAGGGTACTGATGGAGCATCCAAAGTGAAGGAGAACTAGCATTGGAAAATTGTTAGAAGTAAAAAACAGCATTCACAATATTCTTGGACACGGAGTACGTGTTTGTGGATCTGGTTTATAAACAGACCCTGTTTTATTGCACTTCGCTGATACCCTATTTTTACAAAAGGAAGGCGAGTGGCAACCTTGTGTGGACCAAGTCTACTGATGCTGTTGTTCTAAGAGGAGCATTATGGTCCAGTTTCCTAGCCTGAGGCCCTGGCAGCTGGGGTTCAAGTTCTGGGCGGCCCATAAGTGGGCTGGCTGGACCACCTGGCCCAGGGAACTGAAAATACAGGAAGTTCCGGTGGAGCCTTCTTGGCAAAACTCAGAGCTTATGTCAGAGGGATAGGACCCTGGTTAGAATGGTTCAGTCTTCACCCCTGGAAGCATAGTCCTTACCCAGTGAGTGCACATTCTCATAACTCTCCTGTACCGAGTCCCTGGACAGGAGCTTCTTACTAGGTTCCTGCTGTCCCCACTCCTGGGAGATGTACGTCGCTGCCATGTCCTCTACGCTCTCGGGTAACTGCAAAAGCACAAGATTGCCTTTAGCACCTGACATATCAAGAAGAAGAAAAGCAGTGTCAGGGGTGAAAGGGGCAACCATTTGGGGTGCCCAGGACTCCTGTCATGGGAAGAGGACGCTAGCCATACAAACCACAGTGGAGAGAGAGCTGGTGGTGGATGGAGAAAAGACCCCTCCCCTACAAGAGGCACATTTCCAGGGGGAGGAGCAAGGTAGGGACAATGGGAACGTTCACATCACCTGGGGCCCAGTCATCTCCTTGTCTTCTGTGTTCCCTTCGGGAGGAAAGAGAGAAAGCCAGGGGGCAGACAATGCTGAGGGTGACAGAAACCACAATGAGAAGAGCATTCCTAATTTCTGGGACCCCGACAAGGCAGATTATTACAACACCGGATCCCATTCTCCCAACACCCAGACTCTGTTTTAAGATTCAGCACTAGTGAAAGACCAACAGAGGCATGGTAAAGTGAGAGCCAAAATGAAGTGATCGCAGTACACAAATACCAGTGGTCTTAACTGAAGGGCGGCAGACCATCACGCCTCCCATCATTCCACTACTGCTCTCTTTAGAAAACAAAACCCCAGAGATTCTGTTTGTTTTACAAATAAAAGGCTCCACAGAGGGCAATCTCCTCCCTCTCCCTCCCCTGGAGAACTCAATCCACCATTTTTTGTGGTCTTTCTCTGCCCACTAGGGAGACAGACCCTGGACTTCAGAAATTCCCTGTTCTTGGCCTGCTAGTGCCAGGGGCAGCCCCAAAGTCCTTCCTCCCTCCCACTTGCCCAGAGAACTGTTCCTCACCCCTCTCCTTTACAGCTTGGGGGTCCCTTTGGGGGCTGGGGCCTAGCAGCTCCTGCAGCCTGGGGCCAGGGCTTCGCTCAGTCTCCATGGGCTCCAGCTTGAAGCTCGGTGACGCTCGTGCTGTTTCCAGAGGCAAAGGCTCCTCCAAAAGCACTGCAGTTCCCCGCCCATGATTTGTGACCTGGGAACCAACCCACATCACTCATCACCACCGCGGGGAGAGAAGGGGAAACAGCACAGGATTCGGAGGGCAGACCTTCGCCAGAGAACCACAGCGGTCCCTTTGCAAGTGAGGAGGGTCTCAACAGGAGGCACTTTTCATCGTCTGTGCATTATTAGTGACAAGAACACCTGGCGCTGAGGTGGTTCTGGGGGTAGGGCCTCAGTGCCAAACCACTTTTCTAAATTGACAGTTAACTGAGACCCATTTCTGTAAAGGAGAGCAGACCCAAACCAAACAAAGACACTGCTGTCCAGTGGATTCAGACCCCATAGGG